GGATCCATGGGGCCTCAAGCCCACCTAGCAAATTGGTTCGCCCATCGTCAGCTATTTGCACCAACTATTTGCACGAGCTAGCTGCACAGCACGAGGGCATCCTGAGCGCCCTTTGGCCTGCAAGTGGCAGTTGCGAACATCTGATGAGAGGATTTTGGAATCGTTGAGTAGCTTTGCCGGCAGACTGTTACAAGAAAAGACCGTCAAGATGTCGGCTCAGCCCGAGCCCTGTCAAGATATCAGGTGGACCCCCCCCTCGCTTGTATGGAGTGCCTGGCCCAAACACTCCATGGGACTGCCATATGTGCCGATCAGGCCAGGGGTGGTTGACTGGGCTCAATGTAGGCATATATGGCAGTCCCAGACAGGTCGCGTCTGGGTGGGATTCGCTATCAGATTGGTTCACTTCTAAAGGATTCCGGCACGAAAGAAGAGATTGCAAGATGCCCTCCCTGCAAACCCCCGCCAGGATCGAGAAATGAAGATGTTTGAGCTTGAAAGGGGTTCCCTAGAAGTCCAAAGACTATACTTGACTGACTGAAGTAAAGGACATTCCTCTTCGTGTCACCTAAAGACTATTCTTTTTATAGTCTTTGACTCCCAGGGGGTTGAAAGCAAGGATATATGAGGATCGGATGCGGATCGCTGGAATTTGAAGGCAACCATGCAGCCAGCTTGGCGCCCCTAAAAACATCCGCAACACCAAAAAGCCACTGAAGGAATCAGGAAAAGAATTTGAAGATTGTAGGTTCGACCATTCCATTTCCCTAGAAGTCCAGTTCGACTATATTTTGACCGGCTGAAGTTAAGGAAGCTCCCTTTCAGTTCCCCTTACTAAAGACCATTCTTTTTATAGTCTTTGACTCCCAGGGCATTTCACAAGACCAAATCGACGTGCAACTGCATCTATCAAGCGTCGTTCCTCTCATCCTTCGTAGCACTCGTCGCACTGATCCAAGCGCTCGCCTCGCAGTCGCGGCAGGCGATGAGTTGGACCTCCATGCCAGGGTGTCCCCACGCGGGCTGGAGCTGTCATTGGCCTGAAGGGATTCGACGTTTCGCATGATGAATTGATTCATTTCACTCTTCGATCGCCAGTGGATCCAAAAGGTCATGCCCTTCAGATCTTGATAGCTTTAGTCTATATAATACAATGCACATATAATTACATTGCAGGAATTCAGTGATATATATGTGCTCAAGAAGCCCACTCTCCTACCAATAGCGCCTTGCGCGACATGTGAGGATATTGTGAGGATCCACTTGAACCGATCTGGACTACTCCTTTTCAGGCGTTGAGGATGCACCTCCAAAGCACCTCTCGACCACTGGCAGCATGATTGAAGACTCCAGACCATCCATAACAAAGAGTGAAGCGTGTGAAGGTTGAAAGGTGCTTTACTGGGGGGCATGCCATGTGGAAGCCTCAAATCCAGCTAGTTGTACATAAGCTGCCACTCTGAAAACTGTTGCCGGGCCCCCCTGATGCGGCGACGCCCGACACCGTCCGACATAATATGATGATTCCAGGGAGTGTAGATGGCTTGTGAACATGTGGCACCGAAAAATAAACTACGAGTCCAAAGACCCCAGTAAAACCTAGTCCTTTACCTCCTCTGAGTAGTCTTTCGGTATAACATTATCATGACCAACTCCAGTAAAATAACAAGGACTCTGACCTGCAGGGACAAAGATCATCAGAATCAGATGGATCAGCTTCCCTCATTTTCCGGTCGGACCTGGTGTTGGCGTAGACCAGGTTTGCTTCGGTGTGCTCGTTGCTGTGCACCGTCTTCCGGAGCACCGCCGTTTTCGGCACTGCCGTTTTTCGGCCCGGCACAGCCCGTTGTTCGGCCCATGCCATGGGGGCAGCGAAGCTCCGTAGACATCCGTAGACATCGTTGTTCGCCGTGTGTCATCACTAGCCATGCTCGGTCATACCAACAGAGTTATGAGAATCTTACAGCCACAGACTGGGGGTGGACAAAACATTTATTTTTTCATTTCGTTTTCGTTTTCATCATCATTTTTTTTCATGCCCATTTGTGTCTTTTTTTCATGTAAATGTGTGTTTTCGTTTGCATCATCATTTTTTTTACACGCCCACCGGTGCTTTTTCATGCGTGATTGCGTTTATCGTTTGCGTCCCCTGAAGCTAAGGCTGCCAAGTCACTTACTCCTGAACCCTCTTTGCTACCCGCTGCTACCCTGGTCGGCTAGTCACTTTCTTCTATTTTGCTTTAGCTGTTGTGAAATGTACTTAAACTGTCGTTCACGCGTTGCCGAAACTATCTGAACTTAAAACAACGTGAACAGACTAAATTATATACATGAACACATGAATTAAATTACAATGTTGCCAATGTGTGGCCGAAACTAGCCAAAGCGATCATGAAAGACAAAAGAATGCTGGAGCTCAATTGCAATTGCCTCCCCTGAAGGAAAGCGGCCAAGTGAGCTAGTCCTGAACCCTCTTTGCTGGTGGATCACACATGTCCTTCTATTTTGCTTTAGCTTTTGTGAAATGGACCTGACTATCGT